CACGTGACTTACCATACTTGTATTCATTGACCCAAAGTAACAGAAAGCCTTTCTCGCCCACAAGCCAAATCTAACACCCTCTTTCGAAAAGGTTACTTATCATACGTTACACGAGGTTTAGGATTTTGGAGCGACAGAGTCGCAAACTTCCGAACCCAACAATATGTAGAAAATACTGTATTATCTCAAAATAATTCTCCAAAGTGTAATTTAATATTTTGGGTTACATTAAGCTTAACTTAGGCCAATTTAAACTTAATGTAGGCCAAAATATTAGACTACATCCTGAGGTGTTATTTCAAGAGAATATGTAATGATGAATTGGCCTATCGTCTTTTGGTCTTACAATAACGATAACAATAAGAATGCTTAATTAAATTGATAACAACAATTGTTATTATTATATTTTATAATTTCTATGTAATTAGAGTTAGTTGCTTTAGAATTATGACTGTAAAAATTCTGTTACCAAATTTCTCATATCTCACATATTTTGGTATCTATATTATTAATTTTACAGTACACACAACAGTGAAGCATAAGAAAATTAGTAATAGTAAACCTGCAAAGAGTGCACTCACAGAGGTTTCATTAATATTTTTTCTTATTAACAATTACATCAAATGATATAATTCATGTAATATGTCATACAACATGCAAAAATCTTAACTTTTTCTAAAAAAGAATAATTGAAAATCATTACTCTTGCTAAAAAAGGATTTTATGAAAATGAGCATAGTGGACATTAATTTTCTCGAGCTAAAACCATCCCTCTCACATTTCATGTTATACACATGTTATCGTACATGTATTAATATGATATATATGCATATATACATTAAATATTCATTGTAAAAAAAAATTTTTTACAAATTTAATATTCTTTTAATTGTAGTAATCACATTTTTTGTAGATTAGATATGTAACATCGATGGTTCCTCCTGTGATCCAAATTTATTTTTCCTAAATGAGATACAATAACAACTAGACACACATTTGAACTTTTGAAGATCTCATCAAATTTCTATTGAGTTTTATATCAGATTTCATTTGAGTGCCAATAGAGATGAACTATAACTATTAGTTAAAATAAACTAAATAAACTAATAGTTTATTCAAAAAGGAAACTAGAACCATGTTACACAATTCATGACATTCATAATTTATACATTTTAAATAGGGATGTTATCAGCTTTACAAAAAGCCAATTTTAGTGATTTCCTGTTATTTATACAATAGAAACAGAATTGAAATAGCATAAGTCTAGACAATCTAATTTAAGCCAAACTCAATGAAGCTATGCTAAACTAATTTAAATACAATTTTTAAAACAATACAATCTAACACTATAATGCTAGTCAACTTTTTATAATTCAGGTCAGATTGAGTATACTGAATTATTAATTTATCATAATCGTATGATTTGATCACATGTGATATATTATGAGTATACTAAATTATTATGGGATTTACTAATTTTCTTTCAAGTTCTCCTTAAAGATTTAAAATTAATGTCAGAATTAATAAATGGCATTATAACAAAATATTGCAAGGAATATTTTTTGTTAGTATGCAAAAGTTGATTTATTTGGAATAAATGAGTCTTTTTCAAAAATATGCATGTGATTTGATCATACATGATATAATTTACAAGATGTTTATCGATTTTCAAATTGATAGTTGCTTGCTAATTCATTTTTTTTTCTCACAGACAATTAAAAAATTTTTTTGCAAACCAAAATAGAATATTAGCATGTTTTTAAATGAAAACTATGAGAATTATCATTATGTAAGTATTATATATATGTAACTTTGAAAATTTTATTCGGTTAAACAAATCTTAACAAATTCTATAAATATAAGTCTTAATATGTATCAAGTTGAAATCGATAAAAAGAAAGATCCTGATCCTTTTATTACTTTGTCCTCTAAATCAAAAGGAAATAAACTTGAATTTATAGCTTTTAGAATTTTTAAAAGTACTATGAAGATTAATTGTTAAAGAGTAAGGTAAGATAGTAATTTTATTAAGTAGTTGTTTAGTTATTATGTATCTGAAGTTATGCTGCCACTAGGATTGTATAATAATCAGAGAACTGGAAGCACAATGTGGCCTCAGATAGTTATTTTAACTGGAATAACCAGATCTGTAAACATCCTTCTCTGATTTATATATAATTCAAAAACTACTATGTATTTCACTTACATGACATCATTAATTGACTTCTGGAGCTGTAGTAAATAAGATGCATGGATAAATGCTTTGATTTCAGTTACTCGGAAAATTTATATCCTTGATGATTATGATAACATCTACTTATCTTTTTTTTTTTTAATATAGATTGTTAGGTCCTGATAGTAATAGGGGAATAGATATCTTTGGAAACTTTGAAGGATATTTGATTTTAGTTCAATATAAGAATTATACAGATGTAAAGGTTAGTGTTGATGATATTAAAAAATTCAAAGAAGTGATGTTAAGATATCCCAATCATACAACAATAGAAATTTTTGTAATATTTAATACAAATAGATATAGCAGAAATGCAATTAATAGAGCAGAAACATCAGAACTTAATATCTTATTAACAAATGTTTCTAGCATAAAACTAGACATTATTAATTATGTTATTGAAAATTAGGTAATGCTTTTGATGATTCTGAAAAATGTATAATCAATGAAATAATTTGTAAAATTGAAAAAAAATTTGATACATTAAATGAGAAGGTTGATATTATAAATGAAACTCAAAAAAAATTGGCTAGAAAAATGAAAATATATCAATCCAGAGTGATGGCCAATAACAATAATAATCAAAACAAAATTTTAACTTTATTAATTGTAATAATTATATTACTGTTAATAAATTTAATCAAATCAATCAAATTTATGCAATAAGTAAGCAAATCTTGTTGTTTTCATTAAAGTCAAAGGAACCAATGAAATTCTTAGTGAATATAATCATGTTGGATGGGAAAAGCCAAATATAGTTATACATATATGACTTGCAAAGATAGCTTTATTTTTTTATTGAAAAATAGAACTATTCAAAGTTTTATAAAAAAACATATGCTATTTATAATAATTCTTATATGGGTCCAGTCTTTAATGCTAGTTTGGCTATGAAAAATAATTTTGATAAAACAATAAATATTATTGTTGACATAATCCTTTATTTGTTGTATACAAAAAATCATTAAAAGATATATAGTTTTGTCTTACTTAAAATAATTTTTTTCTTTAGAAATTTTTTTCTTTAGATGATCTTTTAAAATAAAAGTTTGACCTTTATTTTATAGTTGATAAAAATTGTAGTTACTTAATTATTACTATTTTTTTGAGTACAGTTGTTAAGCAAAATATTTATTTTAGGAATTGCACTTAATGTACTATGATAATAAATGAAGCTTGTATTTTATATTTTAGTAAAGTATAAATCAAATAATAAACACAGATTAAATGGCCTATATGTCTAAATGCTCTTGTTAAGCACCTTCTATAACCTGACTATTATTTTTTTTTCAATTAACAGTTTTTATATTCACTTTTTTTGTAAATATATATAGTTTTTTTTTTGGTTTAATGTTTTTTATCCTTTTTTGTCCTCTTTATTATAATTTCTTTTAATTTTTCAGTTTTTTTTTTTTAATGTTTTCTACTAAGTTATCAAGTAGAAAAGTTATTATTATTATTAAAGTTAATATTAATGTTACAGTTAACATCTGATTTTGATATACATATTCATTATTTTTGAATTTTAAACCCTTTTTGAATTCTTTATTTTTGCATTTTTAGCAAAAATCCTTTACATGAATACTACACTGAAAAAAACAAATTAATTGTCTGCTTAATTCAACCATTGGTAGTTTGGGGTATCGATGAACAAGAAAAGTGATCCAGCTTGCAAATTAACATGTAATTCTATTGTTATTATTGGACTGCTTAAATTTGATTTACATAATACATTATTCATTCAATTATTTATCTAGCTAAAGCAAATTTTTGAAAAAGTTTTTTTAATCATTCACTATTTTTAATGACCAATATATTATGCTAGTAAAAAGTTTGTAATGTTGGTAAAATTGTTGCATAATAATGCACTATTTAATATAAAGTTCCGTAAATTACAATCTCATCAGAAATATAAATTAATTTTATCAAAATTATGTTTACTAATTCTACCAAAATCAAGTTTACTTAAGGTACAAATTAATTCTACCAGAACTAAAATTATTACTAAAGTTATGTTTACCAGAGTTCTACAAATTTCATGTTTACCAAAGTTAAGAATTAAATTCTACCAAATGTAATTTACTTGATATAAATTTTACATAATTTACATATATAAGTTATATAAGCTCAAAATAGCTTCTAGAGATAAAATTATAAAATTTGGCCTAAATTATACTTAATTTAGACTATAGCTTAATAACACTTACCTGCTATTTATAAATATTATTAAAAAAATAATACCACAGGCAGGTCAATTATGTTAGATAGACATAATTTAGTTTTACTTGATCATCTGTTTAACTATTAAGGCTAGGTCAAGTTGATGCTAATGCTAGTAGAAATTGTTATATAATTCGGCCAGTTTTAGTAACTTACATATAGGCCATATAAGTTACAATGTAACTTATCTTAACTTATTATATAAAGTATGTTGTTAGATAAGTTTTAACAACACTATTTACTGGTAATTATAATACACTATTTAGCATGTACTACTGGGGCATTTCATATACTAAATAATCAAGACTATATATAGTATTATAGTAAAAATTATTAGTACAGATTTTTATGTACAGTATTATCACACTCATAACATAGATATGTAACCAAACAATTGTTTTGGCCCAAATTAAACATAATTTAGGCTGAAAAAATTAATTGGGTCACTTATCTATCATGAAGATCTTAATATACCTGGTAATATTCTTTAACTGAATCTTAAAAAGATTCAGCATTAAAACTATTACTAAAAAACTTACAATAAAACTTTATATGTACTTAAAAATTAAAAATTCAAATGTTATATTCTGTATTTCATTTGTATTGTCACTAGTTTTACTTTATATCCTAAGATTAGACCTGGTTAGTTCGATAAAAGTAGGGTTATAATCTTTGCCTTAATTCATATATATAATTAACAGTTTTTGTATTCATCTTATGTGTCATGTGTATATTTTAGCATTGGTTGATGCTGAAATAAGTCATGTGATCAGTAAGCAAAATAACAATTCTGATTCATCAAATACATAATTCACATTGTAGCTCAATAATTAAATATTTCTGTGGTTTATAAATATAAAATCCAAACTACACTTAATTGTATTCAATAGCAACTTATGATAAATATATAACTTTGAGTAAGATTAGCATAGTGACAGCCAAGAATCAGCTTTAATTTTGTAACCTCCTATGGCCATGGAGGCCATAAAAATTAATTTAGGTTATTCTGATAAAGTCTCATGTTCAATTAACAAATAGATAATGAGTTAAAATCTGTTTTAATTTTACCAAATTACATATCGATATTGACATTAACATTATAGAACTGAAATATAAAAATATTTATTTTTAATATGTGTTATTCTCATCCCACAATCTTTTACGTGAAAATTTAAATATTTTAAATTACTAATTCATTAAAAATATCCTTATTTGTGCACACTCAAAAATATCGTATTTGTGAAAATTTCTTCATGCAGACAAAATATAAAATTTTTAATAAATAAAATTAGTAATAAATATTAGTGATGCGAAAAAAGAAATATATTTTTCTTCAGTATTGGCCAAAAGGTCATCTAAATTAATAATTACATACTTGATAATTGAGGAAATTAATAAGAAAAATGTATAAATGGGACTAGTATTCATTAAATTCAGTAATATTAACCCAGTACTATATTATATAAAATTGAAGATAATGCCAAAGTGCCAAATTTAAAATTTTTAATTTATCTAACAATTTATACTTTCATACTTATTAATTTACTTGATAGAAAATAAAATTTAGACTTTCATAATTTGTGATTCAAACAAATCGATTTTATTTAAAACAAAAATTTAAATTGCAACCACATTACTACGTTCAATGGCTAAAGCCAAGTGCATTTATTAATATAATCGTGGAATTCACTAGATTCAGAGTTGATTGAAAAGAGCAATAAGAATAACAATTACAATAAGAAGCAATATGATCAAGAAATATACATATAATTGGATAATTTGTTTAATTGAAAAAAAATATACAAATTGATTATAACTATTATACCAATTAGATATTATTAGAGGTATAGTAAAATAATAAATTTAAATTATTTTTTATTTAATAATTTAATATTAAAAATTTGATAATAAAAAATAAAAAATTGTAAATAGAATTATAAATCAATAGAAAAAATATAATAAAATGCCAACTTTGGGAACCATATAAACACTCTAAACTATATTTTTGTTATAATGATCTTTTAAATATTTATAAACACTCTACACTTAATTGAAAAAATAAATTACTATATAAATTATTTCTGCTTTATCATAATTTTTAGATTTCATAATGTTATCCAAAGTCAATTATAAAATGAATAGTATTATTTGATTTACTTTTAAGACTGTATGTGCTTGCAATAATCTAAGGACTGAATGTCTTAGATATAATTGAATTTAAAATTGAATGTGATATTGTAACTAAGAGTGACTTAGAAGAAGTTAATATAAAACATGTACTTAAAGGTTCTGAAACTGGCAAAATTACTAAAATACTCAATAATGATAACTTTTTGATATGTAAATCTGATAATAAAGAATGATGTAAGTTTTATTCTGTGAAGGGATAAATTTTGTGATATAACTTAATCAATATGAGTTATTTTAATTTTTTTTTTTTAAAGATTGAAAAACGTGATATTGTTCAAGTTCTTAGTCTTTAATGATGTTAAAAACTAAATAGGAGCATAGACTAGAATTTTTATTATCTAATAGGATGAATACTTTAGAAAGACAAAAGTGAACTCTTGATAAAATATATGTGACTAGGTTATGAGCAATTTACTGATACTTTTATCCATTGTTCTCATTTATAATTGTGTATTTTGTTCATTCTATACTATTGTTTTTTTACAATTAACAGTTTTATATTCACTTTTTTTTGTAAATATATATATTATTTTGGAGGTTTTTATTCTTTATCCTCTTTATCAGAATTTTTAATTTTTTTTATATGGTGCTACTAGGTTGGTAAAATACAAGTATTAAGTTAATTATTATTAAAGTAACATACAAGCAATATTTCTACTTATGTTTTTCAGAATTAGAACTTACATGAAACATTTTAATCAGCTTCCTTAATTAAATAGCAGAATATTTGCTTCTAAGTGAATTTCTCTAAGATGTTAATTATGGATGCCCAAAGGGCCATCTCATGATACTAATTTAAATGTAGATATTTATGCCAATGAATTTATTTAATTAGTTTAAATTTTTTTTAAATAAAAAAAAAATGTAAATTATATTGAATAATGTAAATTGAATTTCATATTTAATTATTTAAAAGAAATTTAATTGAACTTTACAGTACTTTTACATAATAACACATGTTATTTTAAGACAAATAAAAAATTTCAAGTATAAGACAAA